GGGCGAGAGGGGGAGGCCCACTGGTGTGCACAGTGATGTTGATGTCGCACACCCGAGTTTCAATTTCGGAAATAGTACATTGTTTTGCAAAGAACAACTATCAAAAAATAAAAATAACATCCTCATGACGTAATGACTATGCGAAAAAGACGCGTTTTCGTTAGGCCCGTATGGGCATGGGCGGGGGTGGAAAAGCAACCAAAGAAGAATAAAGGGCGCTTCTTTGTCTGCAATCACATGGGTTTATCGTGAACAGCTATAAACTGTACTAAAGGCAAATTGCGAAACGGGAGGCCAAAACGTATTGTCCTTCAATCTGATCACAGTGCAAAATATCAACGGAGATTACAATATATCTGGTAATTTACTATCAGCAAAATATGTTGTAAATTTACGACAGCCAATTCTAGCTCGTCAGTAAGTTACAAGTCAATACGCAGTGCTTTTAAATTGACCATTTTTAATTGTGTATTTACAACATCGTTGATCAAAAGTTTTCCGTAAGCCCTTAAACTGTTTTTCACTGTAATATCATGTAGATGCCTGTGCCAGCCCCAGAGGAGAATAACAGAGAAAGAAGGTAAGTTAGGGATCATGATTACCAACATCCGTTATTCGCCGTTACGAACCTTTGAAAATCAGCCTCAGCAAGCTCTCGTAGCGCCTGGTAGGCAGGCAACATCCTGCTTGCAATGCGTGCATGTGCTGCGCGGTGGCCTACCCCGAGTTTCGCAGGCGCTCCCGTCATGTACCGAACGAATCCTCGGAACGAATCTGAGAAAAACAGACTAACTTTCTGGACGAGGTTTTAATATCGATGAGTCTGCGCCCACTTGGACTGGCTGCCTGGCCTGGGGTATGTATTGTTAACATTTTACCCTGACCGGTCTCATCCCAGGCGGAAAAACGGGAGAAGGGAGAAGAGATCGCTTACTTCTGCTTGATTTGCTGGAACACGGTGTATGCTAGTTCGGGCTCCATCACTTATCTCTTTAGAGAAAGGGGGTCGGGATATGGGGGTGGGGGAGGAAGTAATGTAGGGGAGAGGGGGTGGGGTGAGAACTCCTCCCAGCGACAGAAAAATTACGGTGGCAGATTTCCAGCGCAGAGTGACTAACTGACCTAATGGGAAGAGGCAGCCCGAAGACGTCTAAGCGCGTACCGCGATTCCCTTGCTCCTAGCCACCTCGACTACTTAGAAAGCCCCGTAAAGCCCCCTGGGACCTGGAGGACCTGGAGCCTACACGCTGGGGAGTGGAAAAGGGGGGGGGGGGCAGGCGCAGCTGCTACTGCAGCTGCGTATACCTCCCCCGTTTACGGCGATGCCGCAGTGGTGCGAGGACGCTGTCCAAAGCTGTCCAAAAGGCCGGCTCAATCATCCCCCGACACCTCCGCAGGGCTCGGCCCGGCCCGCCCCGCCCGGCTGCGGTCCGGCCGCGGAGGAGGATATGATCCGCGCTCGTAAAACATTCTCATACGACGGAACCGGCCGGAAGCCGCTCCGCCGCCGCCGCCTTTTTGGCCGCCGATGATAAAAAGGCGGAAATGATTATTATTTTTCCTCCGCTCCTTTTCTTTTCGAACGCGGAAAAGACGCAAAAAGGTCGCTGCGGGAGGGATAGCGAGAGGAGGAGTGGGAGAAGGCGGGAGGGAGCGGGAGGGAACGAGAGGGAGGGAGCGAGATGTGGAGCGAGAGGGAGCGAGAGGAGGAGCGACCGCCCACAACACAAATCACGTCATACGCGGTCGGGTACTTTTGTTCACGGCCCTTTCAGCGAGATCGAGGTCGTAAATAGTATAGAAATATTTTAGATTTTTGATTTAGTATATTTTTGTGTACCAAAATCAAGAACACAGTTATGATCCAATGTACCCATCTATGCAGAGAAATTTTCCTACGGCATACAGTCATCTTGGCATTTTAGTGAGCACTTTGGAACTACCAAAGTTTAAATGTAGTGCCGTGACGTATAAAATGCCACACACTTAAATGAAACTGGACAAGTCCAAGGAAAGCGTATCCTTGTTCTGGGAAGTCAATGCGCAAGTCAAGTCAAGAGGAGCACAGAGATATGAATTCGAGAATATGAGGTGCTGAGAAGTTGAAGTCATGGTAGGATTTGGCTTGCTTAAGGGAGGGACTGTAGTTATTTCGTGTTAAGATCTTCTATGTAAACGTTTCGGAAACGTTATAAAGCAAAACTCGAAGAAGATTGGCAGTTACGGTAGGTCCTAGCGATTTTCCGCACCCTGTGCTTGAAATGAGAGCACGCATTTCTAGATGCACGCCCACGCCCAGTGAGGATGACCCGGGAGGACCAAGGACCCTGGAGCGCCGAAATGCACCGTCTCTGGCTGGACTGGAATAACGCTTATTCCGGTCATAGAGAGCAGACGATGAGTGTAGGATTGTCAGATTTACCCTCTCCCTGACTCCAACTACCAGCCGAAAAGGGTAAGAGAAAAGGCGGAAGAGGAAAGGTATGGGGGGGGGGGGGCACTCTTAATTCCTTACGAAGAGTCTTTACATTATGCACAATTAGGTTTGTATCGAACGAAGGATCTGGGACCGCCATATTACGAACGGATTTTCTTCGTATTACAAAGTACACAACTTTCACAACAGACTTGTGCTCTTCGTATTACGTAGCCAAAACCTTCGTAATACAAATGATTTGTTTGTATTATGAAGGTGCCAAATCCTTTGTACGTTACAAAGAGCAGATCTTCGTAAAAAAAACTTTGAGTGAAGGGGGAGGAGGGAGGGGGGGAAGGGAAGGAG